TAGAGGGAAGTGCAGCTAGTCATCACCACCCACCGCCAACTCTTGGGCTACTCTTTACCAACGAATAGTGGGATTGACCGTCGCATTATAACGCCCCCACCGGCTGAAAGGGCGAGCATGTTTGGTGTGACGGGGATTCAACCCGCGACCCTCAGATTGCTAATCGAATGCCTTAACCACCTGGCCATGCCGGGCCGTTTAATTTATATCTAGCTAGAATTATTGGTAAAAATGTTTTCCATTATTTGTAGGATTTATGTTGTCCTATAGAGCAAAAACTTCAGACATCGAGTTTATATTTCCAGGGAAGAGGGAAAAATGGGTGTTTATCATATATACAAAACTAGAGGGAACCCTCAATAACCACGGCACTCGAAATTCTTTTAGGTAGTATTAGAGTAAATTAATTTATGATACTTTTTATTCCTTTTTATTATCTACATTTTTGTGCACCAGCAATACCAAGCGTGGGACGCACATATACCTGATTCGATTTTATTACTCATCAGGATCTTTACCAGCCAACCCTCAAATCGAAATTCTTTAAGGCAGAATTATAGTAAGTTAATCTATGAGACCTTGGGCGGGGGTCCAATACATCAATCTAAAGGATTTGACCTCCTGACTCCAAAACTGTAATTATATATCAAATCGGTCAACAGATGACGGAGCTATAAGCTAAAAGTTAGTATTTGAAAAACTCGGAGCCAATCTATGAACCGCTATGCCGCGGCTAAAAATAGGCTAAATTAAACGAAAAAATAAACAGAAAAGGCAGTAACGAAGACATTAAATTAATATTAGAATAACATATCAAAATAATAAATTTGTAGTAAATTAACCCTAGAGTTCGTGAAATCAACTAATTTCAAAATATAAATAATTATTGTAAGAGGACCCCAGACATTTAATACAATTGATATGTAACGACAACTCATTTCTCCCTATTTCATGACCTAGCTCATTGGTAAAACTGTCCAAAATGTGAAAACAGATTCATTGTATGCAGTTGAAAATATTCTGATACTTGATATCAGAAGGTGGGTGAATAAAATAAATTAGATATCATTATTGTGGAGTTTACTGTGTCTGCTGAAGTGTACACTGCCTTTTACTTGAAATTGTTTTGCATTAGGTATAAATAGGATTCTAAGTTAGAGAAAATGGCATTTTTCACAACTCGAAGGATTTATGAGCAGGAATGAAAGTTGCTGAGAGAAGATGGTTCTCTAAAAGAGTATTGGATCTATGAGAAGTCCTCTCCTGAACATAGGACTTTCACTGATGCTGCAAAAACCAATGGCTTCTTTTTCGTTGCTGCCACAGACTTGGGAAAGAGAACTGCTAGAATCTGGTGCATCTAGGATGGCTGATTGAGTTCTCCCCTGTGGATCAACCTCGATATGAGAAAAACACAGACTGGGGATCAGTGCACTGGTGTGGCATCTGATAAGCCTGAGATCGAGTGGGGTAATCTGCATAGTACTCCCAGATGTACGTCAACCAGAGTATTTCAATCCCTGATCTGGTTGAAGCCTATTGAGAAAATAGGAGAGAAACTGAAAGCTTCATTGATGTATGGCATTTGCAAACTAAAGCGATCTCACCAGTAGGTAAGATAGCAGATGCCAAATGACAAAGTGTTTGGGTGATTGGGCGGTGGTAAGCTTCCTTAAGCTGGGAGATATACTGTGATGTAGACATGATCCATGGAGGAGCTAGAGGCTGAGTAGAATCAATGGAAGAGCTGCCTGGAGCTCATCATCATTCTGCCACTCTAACTTAGAGGCCCACCACTCGTTATAATGTCCAAGATCTCTGAGAGCCCTTAACATACAGTACTTCGACGTTTAGGGCATCTCAGCCCAGTGTTGACCGAGAGTTCATGTGAGAAAGGCTTATATTCCTCCATAAGTCCCTATGATTTCTCTCTCAACATTTAAGGGTACATACAAAAAGGTTCTGGACCATTTCTTCAATCATTTCAAGTAGGTGACTGCCTGTAATGAACAAGAAAGTTCTGGAACTCTTGTTCAATCATTTCAGGTAGATGACTGTCTGTAATTAACTGATGAGCCAGATGAGGAAGCACCAAATTTAGAGGCAAGAAACAGTTTCAATAATCAGAATAATCACTCCAAAAGGTTATCTGATTAATATGGCTGGGATTAAACTGGTTCACTATCAATTAGTGTGGTCATTAGATCGATAAACAAATTATTGAAAAGAAGTAGTGTTAGTTTCTTTCTGAACTTTGGACACTAGTGTAAGATACAATGTATGTACTTCGCTGTATGATTACCGCTTATTCGTCAGAGCTAGGGCTATCATTAGGTCTAGCATCTGATGATTGAAAGGAAATAGTAATCTCTGCTTTCCAAGCCATCAGCAGATGTTCACAATACAGTGTATGCACTACATTGTGTGATTCCCACTTGACTACCATGAAGCTAAGTTACCTGGTGCCAGTAGATATAATGCCAGTGCATCACCAATTTGTTCAACTGAAAGTGATAGCTTGGATTTGGAAAACTCACCTGAAAGGGTGTTGTGGCTCTTGATCTTTGAGTTATCAGGTGATATTTTAAGGTACAATGTATGATCTACCTTGTATGATTAACATTCGATTATCTGTAGTTAGGACTGTTTGTCGATTGCAAAATTATTGGGATCAAAAGAGCTTAGTGATCCTAACTTTCCGAGCTATCAAGCTGTTTCAGTATAAGATATAGCCATAGCTGCTCGATTAACACACTTTAGTAGACCGTTAGCCTGGTAGTTAGTTAGGGTAATCGACTCGCAATATCCAGGTTCGAATCCTCGTTGCCGAACATGTTCGCCATTTTAGCCATGGGGGCATTATAATGTGGTGGTGAATCTCATTATTTGTTAGTAAAAGAGTAGCCCAACATGGCGATGGATGGTGATAACTAGCTTCCTTCCCTCTAGTTTATTACTAAATTACGGGTCACTAACGCAGATAGCCTTCGAATAGCTTTGCGCGAAATTGAAAGCAAACCAAAGAAAGAAAATTAGGAGGCTGGTGCCAGTAGATGTAATATCTAATGCATCAACAGATTGCACAAATAAAGATAATAGCTAGGAGTTCCAAAACACAATTGAGGTTTTGTGACCCTTATTTCTAAACTACCGAGTGATTTTCTTTCGAGGCGGAAAATTAGTTTCACAAGTGGTCAAGAAAACCACTAAGCTAGTCTTGCTTCAAGTTATTTTTGTTCCTTTGTTGTTTAAGAAAGTGGACACTTTTTACTGCCTAGCGAGAATATTGCTTAATATGGCTAATTGTATAAGGATATCGAAAGCAGTTTTTTCATTGGTTGTGTAAGTGATGTCTAGAGGTTATGGTCCCATCTACGTTGTAATAACAATGACCAATTATTAACTCTAGAGAAAAACAAAGGTAAAACAGAACAAAGTCAACTTAGCGGTTTTATGGACCATCTGTTATGCGAAAACTGCACTGACTCAAAATAAACGAAAAATTATGAAAATTTCTACACTAAAGTGAGGAAGTAGAAAAAACATGGTAGGCATGCGTATCACACTGGTCTTGTAAAAAACAAACAAAAAAACTATGTATTTCTGTACTTCAAAACTAATAAGTATACGTTTTTAATCTTTTTTTTTTTTTTTGTAGAACGAGAATAAAATATTACCATCAAACTAATTGCAAGACACCGGGATCGTGCTTTCCTCAAAGGATGAATTTAACTACCTGATCAATATATTTTTATACATTATAATATATTTAAAGTATTAATAGTTTGAATGTTTGGGAGGCTGAGTGTTTACAATTACAAAGAAAAACAAACTTGCTATTAATAGATACATTTTTCAGTTTTTGATGTCATTTTTCAGATGTTTAGAGAAATAAGGAACTGAAATCAAAATGGTAGAGGATGCTGAACAGAATACAGTCTCCAATGGTCACACTAATTTGGATGTCAACTCATTACCTTCTCCAGAAGACACTCTGACGTTAATAGAAGTTATTGGAGAAGGAGCACGAGGTATTGTACACAAGGCAAAAAATTTAAAGACAGGTAAGGATTCTGAAGCCTAATGTATATACAATTGTTAATTTTGCTCCGTAATATGTTACATTTTATTTTAAGTACGAGCGTTTTTGAAACTATTAAAGTACACATCTATTTTTTTTGGTTTATTACTAAAGTATCTGAGCACTTAGCATAAAGTTTGTTTTTGAATTTCGCGCAGAGCTACAAGAGGGCTATCTGCGCTAGCCGTCCCTAATTTAGCAGTGTAAGATTAGAGGGAAGGCAGCTAGTCATCACCACCCACCGCCAACTCTTGGGCTACTTTTTTACCAACGAATAGTGGGATTGACCCCACGGCTGAAAGGGCGAGCATGTTTGTGTAGGTCCGTCGTCCTCAACGAACACAGATCAGTTTTGGCAGAACAATGAGAAATAATATTCTACATATGCCCACCTAGTTTCATCAAAAATCCGATCTTTTTGACTGCGTTATAGAGCAAACATAGTGTGAAAAATCGGTCCCCATGTTAACAAATACGGATTTTTTTACTTTCGTGACCTTGACCTTTCAAGAACTAAAACCTTTTAGTTGGGTCATAGTCCAAATGTATACCAACTTTCGTCCAAATCCATTCAGTCGTTTTCGAGAAATCTTGCTGACAAACGCAACACACAGAGGAGTGAAAGCATAACCTTCGTCCACCTTCGATGACGGGGGTAATAAATAGATCACCACGCGAATTACATATAACAAGACAGAAATGCAATTTGCGGGTGAACCCTTGTATATGCATCATATTATCGATGCTTCTAGTGGCTTCCAGGAACATCGCGCCTCGAATGTTATCGTTCATTCACGTTTACCACGCGATTACATGATAACCTTATAGATACCGTTGAGTACGTGATTTGAAGACATAAAATTTAAACACAATAAACAGATGCTTAAAAGTTACAGTTAGATACCGAAACCTAAAAGTAGTAGAAATGCAGTAAGCCACTTCCAGTTTCTTTTGTTTGCTGAGTACTGCATGTAATTTAATTAACTGACGACTCTATTTGATATAAAACTGCTTCATATTTTATAATAATTACTTAAATTAGTATTTAACAACATGTAGTTGTACTTTACTTTAATAATCATGAAAGTTTAAAGTTCTACTTGGTATATAAATTCTAGCCAAACTATAGCTGATATGCTTAAATTACAGATAGAGTTGAATGAACATATATTTATTTATGCGGTGCTTTATGTTGTGTGGAATGTGTACTGTAATGTGGGATCACGTTGATTATTCGAATTGTATTTTTTTTTATACTTTCAGAAAGATTTGTTGCAGTTAAGGTGGTAAAACACGTTCCAAGAAACTATACACTGATTGAAGCAGAACATAAAGCTTTGAGCAAATTAATCGAACATTTTTGTTTCCCTGATTTTTATGGCACATTTTATAAAGTTGGTTTGGACAATGGTGATGAAGTATGGTTTGCGATCGAGGTAAATTTTGCATTTTTACAGCTTATTTTTTTCTTGATAATGAATCCAAGCTCTGTATTTATTTACTTTTGTTTTCAGTGCACCATTTACACAATATATGAAACTAGAAAACTAAGATGTTAATGTTTTTAGGGTATATATATATATATATATATTGATATATTCATAACAACAAAATGCATAACCTTCATAAAGTTTAGTAAACTTTAAATATTTGTAATCACACTGACTTTATGCTTTTATTAGCTTTCTTAAATGAACGTGGATGGATTAATTGGCAGACTTGCATATGACATTGACAAGAATTTAGTTGTCATAAATTATAATTATTATTTATGAGACTATTGTTCAGTACTTTTGATAGCTACACATTACTTTCTGTCATATTTTAATATAATCCAAATGAATGTAACTGTATTAAAAAACCAAAGAAATGTGTAACTAAAAGTTAATTACTTCTTGCACGATCTAAGTTTCATAAGAACATGTTAATATACAAATAACAGTTATATCTAAACTATCATAAAAATATTAATGTTTATTAAAATTTAAGTAAAGTATATACTCTATAAATATTTATTTATATTTTTTTCCAAAATTCATAGTTGTGTAAGGGTGGAAATGCTGCACAGCTTGTTCAGAGACTTCGAGCAGATGAAAAATTTTTGGATGAAATACACATTGCATATATCTTAAAGGAAGTTTTAAAGGTATAATTTCGTTTCTATGAATTCTAACTCACTATGATACTTTCATATGTTGTTTAAAGGAGTTTAAATTAACTGCATGTCCTAAACCAATCTAAAATTGTATAACTAATTGTCAAAGATCAAATTGCATCTAGGCTTTCAAAGCTTAAACTTATTACTCCTAATATTCAAGTTTGTACTTACAACATTTTTATTCCACCATTCTAGCAACTAACAGTATTTGAACACCAAAAGCAACTAATTTTTAAATTATTTTATCCAGTGAAAACAAGGCCAAAATTAAGCTTCTCATCACAACTTCAATAACTTAAACAAAGTATCATTCTAATAACCTGTTTCTGCATTCCTTTCTTCCAATATGTCTCTGATAAAAGGACCAAAAGTACACATAGAACTCCAAATTAGATATTACCAGAGTCTTTTATGAGGCTACAATAAAACCCTCATTCTTAAATGAAAAATAATGAATGTACTAAAAAAGGCAATGCTGGGCTTAAAAATTAATGCCTAAAATGGGTGCATAGGCCATCACCTTCCACTGTACTGTACCATAGCACGTGAACTATCCACTCAATGCAAAAGTGCCTGTGATATGCATGGCATTATACATCACTTTCTTTTGCTATTCGCTTCACATATTTTCTTCTGTTTCCTTCAATCAGTTAAGCCCTCATTCACTGCATTGAGGTGGTAAGGTTGAAATTACTACCAAATTGATCCTTTTGTGCGATTGCATGTCTATTGAAACTCAATCTTGGAGAATCCACCTGAGTTGTTCTAAAAAAGTTTTTCAAACCTGGCTCAACTGGTCCTTCACAACAACTTTTTGCACCACAGACAGACACAAACAGGCAACTCTTCTTCATATATGTAAAGTTACCAATTTTAATTCTGTAACTTATTTTTTTAACAAATGGATTAATTAATCTCTTTAGATGTTTCCATGTTTTTTAAAGAATTCTTCATATTCTCAAAAGCATATGATTGTGTATTAAATTTTATAGTAATGGAAAAGATAACTAATCTTTGCATTGCTTTTACTTTCCAGTGCCACTAGTAGTTTAAACAATATTGAATTTTTTTTGTTCTTTATACAGGGTTTACAGATTCTTCACAATGAGAAAACAGCACATCGTGATGTTCAAGCTGCAAACATTCTGTTTACAGAGGATGGTTACGTTCGACTTGTAGACCTGGGTATGTTATCACTTAGTAGCATGGTATGCAATAATCAGGAATGAGTACAGAAAATAAGTCCTATAAAGTATGCACACTAATATATTTTTTTCTTCAAAATAATATTCTTTTTTTAAGTTCATATATGCTGTTACCATAGTATATATATATATATATATATACTTTTATATATTTTCATGCACTGCATAGGTATTGTAGGTATTGCAGTGCAGGATTTTGTTATAAATTTTTCACAAACTGGGTTCTTTTCAATATCAATGAAATATAACCAAAACAACTATTCCAGGTAGACACCAGCAATAACTTGGCTTAATTACATTGATGTTCAAAATAAAATATTTAATTACAGTTAAAGGTCATTTGGTGCCACTGAAAATCATGTATTTTTCATTTAATTTCTCTGATTTAGAGCAAGTGAAATGCCACTGTGTTCACTGTTTGGAAAATTTACAAACAGGATCTTTAAATAAAATAACACCAATAATATAAATGGGAGGGGGAGTGGCTGAGTGGGCTCAAGCCCCTGCCTTCACCCTCTTATGACCCGAAAGTGCCCATTTTCTCAGTCAAAAAACACTCCCTATTCCAAAACTTACTTGTTGCAAGTTAGAAAAAATGTTTCAGCTTTAAAATGAATGGCACACAAGAACTTCAGTAAAAAATATAATTATCATATGCTATTAAGGTTAATAAAACTGTTTAGTTTTATATTTTAAATATGTTTTTAAGACTGATTGAATAGGAATAAAAGAGGATCTATTTGCTTCCTACATTATGTGTACCATAGTCAATCCACAGTTCCCTAATACTTTTTCCACCCAAAAAACGTCTTGTCTTATGATGCTTGAAAAGTGCCATTTTTTTTGTCAATGAGCCAGTGATATTTTAATGCCCTTTGCATGTTACTGAATGACACTACAACGAAATAGTGTATTGGTAATGGGAATTATTGAAAAATTGTTAATCTCAACTGTTAATGTAAATTGTCAGAAAAGTAAGAATATGTTACCATCAATGTGGCTTAAAGTTTAGCATTAGTATTTATAGCAAATTAGGCTTATTTTATTAAAATAAATTGTTTATCTTATGTTTTTTAAGCAGGTGTTAATAATTATTTATAGAATATACGATTAAAAAATTATGAGATAAAAATTGTGTATGTTTATTCATCATGTTGAATCACTTTAATAGGTCTTTCTTGTAGTTTGGAGGAAAATTCTGACAGTCAGGTTCATTGTGTTGGTTCTCCATGGTGGATGGCTCCAGAGGTATTTAAATGGTGTAAAAATAATTGTAAGAATAAATACTTTTGGAATAAATATTTTCCATACATAATTATTAAATAAAAAATAAGTTGTTTTTTAGTGTTGAAAAAGGGTTTTTTCTTCATCTTTAAGTATGTAATATACTGCATAAGATGATCTTCTGGTTGATAATTTTGTGTTTTCAGCATATTTTAATGCACTGTAGATTATGTTAAGTATGTTAAGTTCCTGTATCTTTGATGTATCTAATTGTTGATCATGTGAATTAAAGCTTGGTATATTTATTTTCATATGATGCTGTAAATTATTCAGATTATACAGAAGATTGAGTAAGTTATATTAAAATGATTTGGAATAAGCAAATCTACAAGTCATGTGAAACCATAGCTGATATAAAGTTGTGGTGGAATGGCATGTATGAAATCTATATTGTGACATTGGAATTTCCTAGGTAGTGTGATGCTACTGAAAATTGATCCTTTTTGACAATTTTAATGTAAAATATTTATACTCTTAGATCATAGCCATAACGATGCATTCAGATTGGGGATTTAGAATTTGCAGGATGGGGATATCTTTTGTTCTTAATGGCATTCAGAAACAAAAGAATATGAATCATTTTGGGGAATCAGAATCATCCAGAAACAAAACTGCAACAAGTCTTACCCCAACCATGGTAAGCAAAGTGTGACATCTTGTAACAAGTGAAAATTCATGAATGCAAAGGTTAGTGTTAAAAGCCATTCACATGCCCCAAGCAACAGTATATAACAGAATCAAGAAGGATTTTCCAACTGGGAAAGTGACTAAGTCATATGTATACAAGCTGCTTCCATGACATGCCCTTTCAACCGTTGCATTTTTCAAGCAGCTGGACAATGAAACAGTTATTCATGCTATTCCATATGAACATATACTGGTCAATTTACTGGATGCAGCACCTATGGGTTTATGTGTGATAAGACCTTTGATATTGAAAGCTGGGAAACCATCATCCTCATAATAGATAGCCTTCAGGAAGGAGTGGTGTGCTTTGGACATAGCATCTTTGAGATGGAGCCTTTTTGAATGGAAACTATTCTCAAGATTATTGTCAAGATACATAATCATCAAATAAAGTGTGAAAGATGTGGCAGTTTGGACTGTAATGATGTGGTGAGTCTTCTACATTATTTTAATATAACATACTCAATCTTTTTTTGTTTCTTACTTGTAATAAATCATGATTTTCTAATAATGAAAATGAGAAGAAAGTTATATTCTAGGATGCAATATACAAAATATTTAGAAGTGTGGTTGTAAAAAATGACAAATTAAAAATGTTTTTTTTTTTCAATAAACCCTAATCATTTAATAACCTCAGACTTTTCTACCTTGAAAATTTCATCACACTGTATTGAGTAACCAAGATGGTGCCACAAAAGTATAATAAAACTATCAATCTTTATGAAATAAAAGAATACAGGATGTGGAACCTCAAGTTTCTCTATGAGAGCAGTTAGGTTCTAATTAGTTCTGTTGAAAATTGCTCTCTATGTGCATTATGTTCACTTAGAAGTGTATATTTGTTTTTCGTTGCAGGTAATAGCATTTAATGATTGTAACCTGAATTATGACTGTCGCTGTGATGTTTGGTCCTTAGGTATCACAGCAATAGAATTAGCTGATGGTCATCCGCCATTGGGAAATGTCCATTTAAATGGAGTCATGTTGAAGACAGTCAGGTTTGTAGAATAAAGGCCATTCACAGTTGATAATAATTACTGTTATTGCATAGACCTCCCCAACTAACATTTTTTCTCTCATCATATTGCACAAAACTGAATCAGATATTTGACAATTTCTTTGTGTCAATTGTTCGTTTAGTGTAAAAGTCATCAGAGATCTAAGGGATGTTGTAATTTATCTAAGCTGGAGAATGAATAATTTTTGTATGTTAACTTTGAATAATGAAAGACAAACAATCATCATTGTAGCAACATTTTTGAACAGATCTGTCAGGCAGAAATGCATTAGTAATAAATGAAAATGAGGTAAAAAAATTTACCATTCCACTTGGAAGGGGCAAATTCTTCACATAGTTATTTTACCAATCTTTCAAGAAAGTGCTTGTAACTGGCTTAGACTTGACATAAACTAATTAAAAAAGCACATTGTTATCTTGATGATTATAAACTTTAAAATAATATAATTTTGTTTTAGAGGGAATTATAATACTTCAAATTATTAAAAAAACAGTATATTACACGTGAATATACATTTTTTTTTATAATTTGAAGTATTATAAAAGAAAGTATATTCATATGTAATATACTTTTTTTTTATGCCCCCAGTGGCACAGCGGTATGTCTGCGGACTTACAATGCTAGAAACTGGGTTTCGATACCCGTGGTGGGCAGAGCACAGATTGCCCATTGTGTAGCTTTGTGCATAAATTCAAACAAACAAACAATACTTTTTTTATAAGTTGAAGTATTATAATTATAAAAAAAGGTATAATATATGTGAATATTCAGAGTGTATCAAGACAACTATATGAATTTCATATAGTTTTCGTTCTCCATTTTGAAAACTATATGAAGTTCCCACGTGCCAAGTTTGGCAGTCTACCTTTATCCATTTTTTTAATTATTTGTTTTTTATGTACTTCATCATACAAATAAAAATCCGTGAGAAATATCATTATTATGTGGTATCCAATGATTATAAACTTTAAAATAATATAATTTTGTTCAAGAGGGAATTATAATACTTCAAATTATAAAAAAAGTATATTACATGTGAATATTCAGAGTGTATCGAGACAACTGAAAGTGTACTTTCTGTGGTAACTAATATTTCTCAATACATCTCGTCTGAACTGGTAAGTGTTCATTAGATTATCAGGATGAGTTTGATTGTCTAATTAAACTCTACAGAAGTATTTCTGTGTGATTTTCTGTTTTTTTCTTGTGTTCCCGTCGTTAAAAGAAAACTTTTTTTCAATCTGAAACTTCAAGTACAGTAAAAGAAGAAACAGCTAATCCTGCACATGATACTGATTATTGAACTCTTAAATATTATAATTTTCTGAATACTTTAAGACAAGTTTAAGCGTTTCTATGAAGCATTTTATAAAGTTCTTTATATGCTCTTTGATAAATAGATTAGTTTTCAAAAAGGAGTTGTAAAGCATGTCTGTACTCTATAAGATTGTAAACTTGATACATTCCTGACAGTCTGAAAGACCATTTTGACCCAAGCAGTAAAAATAATGGTTTCCAAATATTCTTATTTGGTGTAATATAAAGGAAAAACTTAAGCATAATTAGTTAATTTATGGAGTAACAATCACTATATCTAAGTATATCAATAAGTGAACTTAAGAGTGAGATTGAAATGTTTAAGTTGTTTAATATAATACATTTTGTTACAGATGTTAAAGCTGAAAATGCAAAGTCATTCCAAGTTGAAGCACATACAATTGTTATTCTGATTCATCCTTAATATTTTTATATGATATATATATATATATACATCAAACTTTTTGCTAAGAAAGTACATCTAGTTGTATTTGTACAGGAATCCTCCTCCAACCCTGAAGAATCCAAGAGACTGGTCTGAAATCTTTAATGATTTTATAAATGAGTAAGTTGTTAATTTTCTTTTTTTAAATCAACTTAACTCAGGAAATAATAATAAAAAAAAGTTCCTGTTTTCTGTAGGTCAGTGAATACAATGTAACCTTAAGTGTTGTTTGTTTAAGTTCCTGGAAATGTCTTTAGTGAATTATTGAATAATATTACTTGTACACACTATTAAGGTATAAGTTTTTGTAGAGATATATATATCTTGAATATAGTTTGGTGCATTTTCAAAACCTCCTTGAATAGATTTAATTTCAGAACTTATTAACATATTAGTAGAATAGCTCTACTGTTCCACGTCATGTTTGTATCAGAGTTTGTCTTTATTTTGCAGATGTCTCACCAGAAACTTTGATTATCGACCTTGTGTGGAAGAACTAATGAAGCATCCTTTCCTAACCCAGCTACCAACAAGTGACACACATGTAAAATTAAATTCTTTTTTTACCTTCAGTTTGGAAGAAGTCAAGTGTGTCAAGCATATCTTGTGTGAAAGATTATGGATAGCTTTGTTCTATAACAAAACAAAACCTGTTCTCAGTTTTAGTGTACCCAAAAAAAAACACACATACATTTATAGAAACCTTTATCTCTCACTGAATATATTTAGATTTGTAAGTTTCCAAAATGTAACTTTGAATTACTTTGAATGCTTAAAATTGTGACAGATGTAAATTTAAGGCATATGCTTCTGTGAAATAATAATAGTATAAATATGATGGCTAGATGTAGGTGTTGCATTAACAATTCAAACTAAGAACTATTTTTAAAACAATTTTTCTAATGCAGTTGCTGTATTTTGATATTTCATTTGTTTATTATAGAAGATAATGTAAACAGTGAAGTGAAGGTGCTAATAGGATATGGTGAATTTTATTTTAAATTTCTGCATATTTCAAAAGTAATAGTATACATATAGAAATTAGAAAAATAATAATAGCAAAAAATTTAATTTTTAATTTTTGATCACGAAGAAGTTACCTTTGTAAAATGTTTTAGCTGAAAACTATTCTGGTTCTCTAAAACTGACTTCTCTCATTTTCTTTAGTGATGCTAATGTGTTTATATATAATATTATGAGCTAGATTTTTTAAAGGTAACTTCCTGTAATTCTGTTAAATCTTTAAAATTCATCAAATTATTTTTATCATGTAGTTTGTGTAAATTTGATCATCCTCATCATGGGCAAAAAATCAATTAGAAATGTGATCTTTTTTTATTTTAAATTGCCAGAAATACTTCCAGCTATAAAGTATAGTTGATTGTTAAACATTAAATTTTTCTTACTCCACCTCTTACTGTGATTGCTTTACAACACAGGTAGCTGTGGAGCTTCAACATTTAATTCAGAAGACTTGCAACCAAAGTAAACCCAATACTTTCACACACATGGTATCTGTTTTGGGATCATGGTTTGTGGAAGCTTGGGACGATGAACCAAAACAGTTGCTTATAGATGATGTGGCAGCATTGCATGATATAACCGAGGTATTGTTGTTGTTTGTGATTGGATTGCATTCTTAAACTGGCAATGCTATAAGTTGTTTCCTTGTTTTTGCTTACTGTCATACATTTTTCTATCAGTTAGAATGTGGAAAACAGCTTTACTTGAATAATTTCCTCAAAATAGAACAACTTAATACTCTCAAAGAACCCACACTTCTATTCCTTTTTATATAAATATAAATGCATATAAAACTTACCTGTAAGTTACTTTACAGTACTATAAATTATTTGACAAACAAATTTTCTCTAACAAACTTAGGATGCAGTCATTAAGCACCTAGAGGGAAGATTTAAAGAAGACCAGTTTTATACTTGTTGTGGGGATATTTTAATCATTCTCAATCCATTTGTCATGCCAAATGAGCTTAGTGAAAAGGTAGGTTTTCTTCATTAAGTTTGTTTTGCTAGACTATGAGCAATGTTAAAGTGTAGTTTGACCAAAATGCTCTTTAATAACATCAGAAGTAATATTATATATTTAGGATAAACTATCATAAACAAAAGTGTTTTCAGTTATTGACCTGAGGTTGTTGTTTTTCTTTAATCTATTAAAAATGTAACATTATACTGATTATTTGGGTGTCTAAAATTGTTGCAACAACAACAATACCTATAGATAACACAGTTAAGTTCTGATTTTATTGTTTCAGCTTAATATCTCACAACTTTACTGTTACAACTAATAATACTTTCTTTCAGGACATAAAAATTGCAGTACTACCATGACTATAACACAACATTAAATAAACCTCCCAATAATGATGTAAATTTTTCTTTTAATGATCATAATTCAATGTTTTTAATTCCATTAACAGACACATTTAGACATTTTTATGCTAAAAAGTGTGATAAAACATCATTATAAGGTTGTTAATAATTTCTAACCCCTTATTATTAACTAGTCTTACACAAGTTAAAAAATAAAGCAGTTGCAGTGTTTTACAGTGCTTCTTAGCATGAAGTAGACATTATAAATGTAGAAGTTAAATGTTTGTTTTTGTAAATCTTGCATATTTTTTAGTGTATTTCAATAGGTCTTTGTTACATAAATAAATAAATTTTAAGTTTATCATTGACAAATTAGAATAAAGTAGTTGAACAGTGTTAGTAAGTTTTTACTTTACTTACAGTTTTATCCTATGTACCAAGGGAAAACGTTTTCTGACAATCCACCACACTTATTTGCTGTTAGTGACAGGACCTACCAGGATATGCTACATCAACAGTGTCATCAGGTCTCTATGTTCGTTTGGAAATTAGAATTTTAGATAGATGATCAAATTACCAAAATGTAACTTGAGATGAGAAATAGGATTTATTCTAAATAGCTGGTTTAATTAGAAGTCTGAGTTCTTATAACACTGAAAATTGGGTTTTGATACCTGTGGTAGACAGAGCACAGATAGCCCATTGAAGAATTTAAAGACTAATAGTGATGTTTGTGAGTGTTGGATCAAATTAACACCATTCATGTATTATTTAAAATGAAAAGTTAAGAAAAAAATGTGGTTAATTGGTCCTTCTCAAATATTATTTTTGATATGTAATACTTTAATTAGATTAAAATCTGAAATTAATCCAATGTCTGTGATAAAAAAAAAGAATACATACTAGCAACACAAACAAAACATAGTATAGCATTTGATACCCTTAGAAAAAATCCTGTATATAGTGTTTTTAATTTGTTAATGTAAGAATATTTTTATCTCTATATTTGGGAACTGATTTTTAATTATGATAATGTGTTTCTAGGGCAAATAGTTAACTTGTATAGTGAAATGTTAATAGTGTGATGTGAGTTAAATTCACATTAGTCTTAACTTTATAATGCTACAAATGTAATTAGTCTAGTGTAATTTAAAATTAATCTTAATTTCTAGCATACGATTTTTTTATACATGAAAGTAATATTATTCAATGTCAACATCATTACACAGTGTAAAAAATTGTAAGCATTTCAGCAATACTAGGCTTAGGAATTAAAAAACTTAATAATAATAATACCATAAAGAGTAATCAAATTGATTACCTTTTGTTCCAACTTATTTGATGCTGACCTGTGGGTTTAATAAATGCAAATTTCCCAACAACTGATAATACCTGAACTGTTTTTGTTTTAAAGAACAAAAAAATATTGAAATGGCTAATTAATACATATTACTTTTATGAAAATAGTATTTTGTATTGTATGAAGTTTGTGACATAGCCAGCATGTTTAAAATAATTCTTTTTTTGTATTCATTCATTTGGAAAGTTTTTTTTTTTTAGTAGCGACCCTGTATAGATACGGGAAAAGCTACAGAAGAAGAAGATTCATTTGGAAAGTTGTGATTAGGAAATAGTGTGAAATGCATAAATTAATTTATCTTATAAACCCATATGATGATAAATGGAAATAAATGTAGCTCAGGATGGATGTGCTGTTCATGTATAGTTTTTGTAGTATTGTCAGTGTTGTACATGAATTTTAAGTATGGTCTTGAAAGCTCTTTTAAGGATGTAAAAGTCCAAATTACCACATGTGACAAGTCTGTTGAGTTTCTTAATTCTGAACCAGGCATTTGCAGACTCATCATTATCTTATTTTAAAACAACCACTTTACTTGTGAACTCTCTAGCCTGATTCTTTACTTGTAAGAAAAAGGCTTATTTAATGTGGAAGTAATTATTTATAATGGATAAATGCTCAGTTTAGTTATAGATAGATAAGTAGATAGGTATTTTTGTATCTGTGAGGCGGAACAAAAATTAAATCCACTGAACATATTCATAAATACAGTAATTATGCCTTTTAATATTGTTATGAGTCAATGAACCAATGAATTTAAATTATGGTTTGTGTATATTTGTTAAAGTAACTTACAAGTATTTCTAATGCTTGGGAACTGCATGCATTGCCCTTGTATAGTTTTATAGGTATACTGTACATAATAAATGTATTTTTTTATCTTTTCTTTTCTTTTCTTATGATTAGTAGTTTTATTTAATTTTGGAATAGATTGATTATCTATATTCTATAAACACTTAAAAATACATTCTACCTTGTGTTTGTCATTAAAGTTCAAGCTGTAATTGTGTACATTATAATAAGCTCTTCTTTATTTTTACTTCAAGACCATTGTTTTATTAGGAGAATCGGGATCTGGCAAGTCAACTGCAGCTTCTTGGTTATTAAAGCATTTGGTTTTTCTTGGAACAGTGAGTCTATTGCTATTAAATAATTTCTTAGGAGAAAATAATTTGATATATTTTATGTTATATTGTTGTTAACCCTAATATTTTTTAAGGCATAGCATTCATTAATCTTGACTTTGTTGCTGTTTTTTTTTTGCTAAAATTTAGTAAATTTGTTCTCTGTTTATTTCTAAAAATAGCAGTTCTCTATTTAGAACTAGATTAAAATGAACATTTTTACTTCACTTGAATTATTATTATTGTTGTTGGTTGCAGGGATAAAAAGATTTGCACCAGAGTTGTTAAAAAGTAAGATTTTTAGTTCATAAGGGAAGTAAATGTGTCATATTTTTTTAGTATGTAAACCCTGGAGTCAACGAGAAGCTTCTCCAGATCTTCCCAATCTTGGATGCCTTTGGTAATGCTCATACTCCGTGTAACTCCAGCTCGAGTCGTTGTGCACGACATATTGAACTAAGTTTTAATCGAATGGGAAAGATCACAGGAGGTAGTCGTATAGTATTACCTTGATGCTATTCTTGTCATAAGTATTAGTGTACATAGAAATTTAAAACATTATCAGCTCAGACTTATTATTCTAAAAAAGTAGTTCTACTTATAAGTGTAAAGAATTGAGATCATCTTAAAAACAACTATAAGACATATGTACATCCCATTATGGGAAGTTTTTATGCTCTTTACAAGTTTTGTTTTTCATATCTTATATGCTGTAAACCTGTGATTTGGGTTTTTATTTGGCATAAAGATCTTATAAAAGTCAAGAAGTTTTGATGTTACACTACCAGTAGCAATGCTACGAAAGTTGGTCTCAAGGATTAATACCTACAATTAGTAGACTTCACTCCCCATCATTTGTCTAATGTTCCAGCTCTTTCAAAATAGTCTAATTAGTGGGCCAAATAGTGGCTATAATAAGGTAAAGTAACTTAAGATAAAACAACATTAATTTTTAACAGACTGCTTTTTAAGCAAAATTGGAGTACAAATTTGATTTGCGTGGTATGCAATGCTAGTCATGCTGGTGTGATGTCTGCCAAAAACTTGCATTTTGATCAAAAGTAAACAGTCTCATAAGATAAGATAAATAAATAATAAAGCAAAAAATTATTTCAAAAGTCTATAGAAATAATTTGCCATTTTAAGCAATCAAAAGTGATGCATAGTCTATTCAGATGGTAATAGTTTATGCATAATATGGACTTTTTTGTTTTCTAATTATCAAATCATATTTTAACCTTTTTTTTTCTCTAATGACAGCCACAGTGTTTATGTACCTTCTTGAAACCTGGAGAATTACCAGCATTTGGCCGTAAGTTTTTTAGTTTATTATTGAGGTATCTAGTCAACATTAAAGTTTCAACTATGAGTTTTCTGAGTTCATTAGATCAATAGTGTCTACACCTAGTTGATTGGAATTCACTCTTTCTGTTATTATTGTGTAAGCTAGCTTAGATGATAAATAGCTAACTATATATTGCCTTTAAAAAAAAAAAGGCTAGAGATTAGTTTTATTTGGAACTTTTTTCATAACATTGTTCTAAAAGCTGTTTTGTTTTTTTAAAATAAAAAGTCAGTAACAAGTGACAAATAATTTTTTTTATCTTGAATTTTGTAAGTTCTTCTCTAGGAACTGTTGTGTTTGTGTATCTATATATATATATATATATACATGTGTGTGTGTGTATAAATAAATAAATTGATCAAAGTGAGAAATTTTATAGGAAAGGTATATTATTTCAGGGGCAACTTTAATTTCCATGTATTCTACTATTTTTATGATGGTATGCGAGCAGCAGGTCAGCTGGAAGAGTTTGGACTTAATGAGGAAGGACCTCAGTGCCATCGATACTTGTGGGGAATGCGTCCAGACCATAGTGATAGGAACAAAGAAATGTTTAACTCACTATTCAATAGTTTTGCCTCTTTAGCCTTCTCCA